TGGTGGGGACCCCTCAGGGGCAGGGCCAGCTGGGGGAGGGGGCTGCAGGAGGTTGGCTGGTCGGCCGCGCCCCCTATTGGGGTGGGGGTTGCAATAGCCTATTGTTTTTTAAGAAATACACTCTTTAGTCTGTAGAGATAAAGAAATATCATGTCATCTCAATTTGATCTAAGGAAAAAAAATAGAGTTGAGACAGTGAGACAAGGGAGATAAAGAGACAAAGTTAAAAAAAAAATAGACAAAGTCTCTTGAGCTGAAAGACATACCAAATTCTCTGTATTTCTCTGGTAACTTTTCTATAACTCTGAATTATGTCAGTATGAAAGACTTTTTTTAAATATATTTTTATTGATTTCACAGAGAAAGAGAGAAGGGGAGAAACATCAATAATGATCGGCTGCCTCCTGCACTGCCTACCCTGGGGATTGAGCCCACAACCAGGGCATGTGCCCTTGACCAGAATCAAACCCAGGACCCTTCAGTCTGAAAGCCAAAGCTCTGCCCTCTGCCGCTCTAGCTAGGGCTGAAAGCTTTTTTTTTTTTTTTTTTTTTTTAATGTTTTTCTTTATTTCAGAGAGAGGAAGAAAGAGGGAGAGAGATAGAAACACCTGTGATGAGAGAGAAGCATGGATTGGCTACCTCCTGCAACCCCCCTGAATTTTTTTAAAAATATATTTTATTGCTTTTTCAGAGAGAGGAAGAGAGATGGACAGATAGCCAGAAACATGGATGAGAGAGAAACATCGATCAGCTGCCTCCTGCACACCACGTACTGGGGATGGATGTGCCGGCAACCAATGCACATGCCCTTGACCAGAATCAAACCTGGGACCTTTCAGTCTGCAAGCTGATGCTCCATCCACTGAGCCAAACCAGTGTCAGCGCCCACCCTGAATTTTGTTGTTTGGTTTTTTTTAAAAATGAAATATGTGGGCCAGCCAGTATGGCTCCATGGCCGAGTGTCCATCAATGAACCAAGAAGTCTCAGTTTGATTCCCGATCAGGGCACCCGCCTGAGTTTTGGACTCGATTCCCAATGGGGACCATGCAGGAGGCCGCTAATCAGTGATTCTCCCTCCCATTGATGTTTCTTTCTCTCCCTTTCCCTTCCTCTCTGAAATCAATCCGCATCTATAAAATGAGATGCGGTGTACAGCACTTGGGAGATTATGATCAACAGCCAAAGTCATCCATCCATTAACAAATACTGTGTTTTCTCACTCGGGCAGAACTTGACAATAGTGTCCACTTGCTTGCCAGAGCAAGTTTATATATGTAAACCACACACTGCTGTCTACATTTATAAACTTGATTTGCGTGGCAAATAGCTTCATCTGTAATTGGAAGGCCCTAAAAATTTTGCTCTATTTCCTTTTGATTTGGAGATATACCACACATACAGATGAGTATTAAATGTATTTAAGTAGGAGAATCAGGATTTCAGAAAAAACTTAAACTGCACTAATGAGAGCTTGTTAACATCCTGACTCCTCTATCTACTTCACTCACAACTCTATCTCCCCTTCACCCCCCACGCCCCACGCCCCTACCCCAGCAGTGAACAACCCAAAGCAGAAGTGCAACACATACTTGCTGACAATTAAGAGAATGCTAAACTTGTTCCAGTAAGAGATAAAGGCCTCAACTGTAGTCGTGGCCAAGAAAATGCAGAGGTAGAAGCGCTCAGATCTTGTAGAACGGGAAAATCAAGAAGAATGAGTGGAAGGCCTCAGAGATGACTGAACTTTTCATTTTGGGTGACCGTGCAGGTGAGCCATTGCACCATGTGATGTAAGAGGAGTAGTGAGTTTAGGAAAGAGAGCACATTTGTTTTTACATATTAGAGAGAGAACATCTCTGCCAAGGATGTCTCTTGGCAAAGCAGGAGCTTTCGAGGGCGGTCTCTCTGCTGGACAAATCGCTGCTAAGTGCTTTAGATGCATGTCTGTAAATCATTAAGTTACTGGCACGTTGTGAACGATTCTCCTATTGTGAAGATTCCTGAGTAAAAGGAAGATTGTTCATTGCAGTAAGATTCTAAATAAAATGCTTTAGAAACACCTTAAATATCCACCTTAAATATGTTTGGTCAAATGTCCAAATGGCTCAGTCAAATAAGACAGTGTTTTTGGACAAATAATTTAAGTCAAGAATGAAATAGACTATTTTCCTCGTTGCTATAGAGAGAGCAAGATGGGTCACCAGAAACTCTACTGGAGCCTTTCGAGAAAATTCGGCCAGGGTTCTCGTTCCTGTAGCGTCTGTTCAAACCAGCACAGTCTGATCTGGAAATTCGGCCTCAACACGTGCCACCGGTTTCCGTCCGTAGCCAGAGGACGCAGGCTTCATTACATTGGACTAAGTGAACTTCCATGAATGGGTCATTCAAGACATCTATCTTTGTACATAAAATAAACTTCATATATAGTTGTGGGTTCTTTTGTTTTTCTTTTAAAGGATGATATTGAAAAAAGTTGATGAGGTTTTTTGTTGTTGTTGTTGTTTTTAATATATTTTATTGATTTTTCACAGAGAGGAAGGGAGAGGGATAGATAGCCAGAAACATCGATGAAAGAGAATCATCAATCAGCTGCCTCCTGCACACCCCCTTACCAGAGATGTGCCCGCAACCAATGTACATGCCCTTGACCGGAATCGAATCTGGGACATTCTATCCACTGAGCCAAACCGGTTTCGGTAAGGTTGATGAGTTTTAATGTCAACTAGTAATTGGTTAAGGTCACCCTGAAGTATCGCGGGCCCCTAGTCCGTTATGACTCATAAAGAGGACACGTTGGGACATAAGGAGGCGCACAGGGAGACTGCATGTGAAGACTGGAGTTCTGCTGCTACAAGCCGAGGAACTACCAGAAGCTACGAGAAAGGCCTGGAGCAGATGCTTCCCCAGCATCTTCAGAGAGAGCACGGCTCTGCCATCACCTTGGCTTCAGACTCCTGGTCTCCAGAACTGTGAGACCATACATTTCTGTTATTCTATGCCACTAGTTCAAGGTTCTTTGTTATGCAGCCCTAGGAAACCAATGCACATGTGGGGAAGCTGGGTTACTGCAAAAAAATCTGTCCACTACGGGAGGGGACTGGCCAGGGAGAGGTCAATGGGGGGAAAAGGAGACATGTTTAATATTATATGTAATACTTGAAACAATAAAGAATTAAAAAAAAAAAGAAGAAGAATCTGCCCACAGAGTTGTTAGAGAGTTGTACCCCTGAAATTTATAATTTTATTAACTAATGTCACCCCAATAAATTAATTTTTTAAAAGTAAAAAAATCTGCCCACAGTGTAACAACATACCAAAGGGAGAAAATTAGTAAAAATCCTATATAATAAAGCCTCATATGCAAATCAACCAAATGGCAGAATGACCAGTAGCTATGACATGCACTGACCACCAGGAGGCAGATGGTCAATGCAGGAGCTGCCCTCAGCCAGCAGGCCCCAGGACAGACCAGCGGGTGTCCCCCCAATCACACCAGTTGCCCTGCATCAGGAGAAAACCAGTGATGAAGGTGGCAAGGTGATGGGGGTAGGGGGCTTGCGAGTAGGTGCCGCCAGGCTGGCCAAGGTGGGTGCCAGCAGGGGGCCCCCAATCGCCCCGCAGGTTGCCCTGCAGATGGGACTTGATGCCTGGTCAGGCCTATTCCCTACCAGAGCACAGGTTTCGTGCACCAGGCCTCTAGTATGAAATAAAGCTTGCCCCAGCCTCTGATAACCACTCCAAATAGGGACTTTCTGCTCTTAAAACCCATTGCATTGATGGAAGTGTGTCTTGATATGGCCATTTTGGAGGACAGTTTGACAGTACCTATCAATAAGGTATGCATATCCTATGACACAGAAATTTCATTCATAGGATTCGATCATACATACATATCTGCACTAAATGCAACCTAGCTTTTCTACAAGTCCTGGTCAGACTCCCCAGTTTTCTGAAAAGGATGCCCATTCTATCTCCACCCCAGGAACCTGTCTTTAAAGGGTGACTTAGTCGACACTATATTGCTGTTTGTCAAAGGAAAGAACATCAAACTCAGTGCTAACCTATCCTTACAACCCTCATTTCCTTACACACAGATAGCAATGGAGGACTGCCGGGAAAACATGGCATTCATCCTTTCTTTTTAAATGCAACCTTTTGAGTCAGCCAGATCCTAAATTCTCAATACAAGGTTACTGGGTTACGGGTTTGATCCCTGGTCAGGGCACATACAAGAGGTAATGAATGCATAAATGAGCAAAACAACAAAATCATGTTTCTCTCTCTCTTTCTCTCTCTCTCTTTCCCTTCTTCCCTCCCTCCCTCTCTCTGCCCCTCCTCTCTATATAAAATCAAAAAATTTTAGCATTTGTATTTAAGGGAAAGGAGAGAGAGAAACATCAATGATGAGAGAATCATTGATTGGCTGCCTGCTGCACACCCCCCACAGAGGATCAAGCCCCCATCCTGGGCATGTGCCCTTGACCAGAATCAAACCTGGGACCCTTCAGTCCTCGGGCCAACGCTCTTATCCACTGAGCCAAACCAGCCAAGGCTAAAATCATTTTTTTTTTTTTTAAAGGGGATCATAAAAAACAAAAGGAAGTTTAATTCCTCTGGCTTCTCAGGCTACGAAGAAGCTAATGAATTTGTTCCACTCTTAATTTTCCAACCTAAATCTTCCAAAAGAGACACATACTTAGCTAAAGGAGGCACAGTGGAGGTATTTACAAAATCACATTTCACACCATTTCCCTGAGTCTCTATCAAATTCTATAATGAAAAAAAACAAAAAAACAACGGTATGTTCTGGTTTTCTGAGACAACTCCTAAAAATTAGCTCATGTGTCAATGTACTAGACATACTGCAGGTAGGTCGTTTCTAATCGATCCCTTACAGCAACATTTCACACCCCGGGAAAAGGCACAATACTGCGCTGTCCCCACACAGACCCCTCTCTCACCGCTCCCAGATGTCTCCCAGGTCCTGGGCACTACTCACCTTAGGCACAGGTAGCTTTTTCTTCAGCTCCTCACACTTCCTCTTCTTACAGATCTGGTGGCTGTTCTTTCTGTTTATGCAGTAGGTACATTCGCCACAGTTGGCCTTCTGCTGGCAGGGCACACAGACCCCACACCGCTTCCGTTTCTTCTTTTCCAGAGCAGGTAGCACAGTTGTGTGGGAAGGAGGAGAGGAGGTACTGGCAAGTGGCACTGGCGTAGACACCGCGGGGGCGTCGATGGGGGAGCTCCCTCCTTCCGATTGGCCGGGCACAGCCTGGGAGTGTTGGGCGAGGTCCTGTGAAGCTGGGTGCGGTCCTCCCTCAGGGGCTAACTCGAACCCCTGAGTGTCGGCTGGTGGAAAGCTTAGATGGACTTGCTTCTCATTCTCCGCGTTGTTCATAGCCATGGGGGGAGGTTCAGCACTGACCTCCGAGACTGAGGTTGGTTGAGGAGTGTGGCCTGAGCCCAAAGATAAGATCTGCATAGTGCCTTGGACCTCAAGCCCATAGGAAATGGTGCTCTGTGGATCAGGCCATCCTGGGAGGGCATTGTAGGTAGCTACTGGGTTCAGGGGAGCAGGAAGGAAGACAGGTGGGTCTGAGGCAGCACTCCCGCCCACCCCGAGGATCTCCTGGTTGAGGATAGCACCAAACACCTGTCCTTGGACTGAAATAGCACCAGCGAGCTCTGGCGGGACTGGGGTCTCGCCCAGAGCCCCTCCATGAACCAGATTAACACCGGGGATTTCCCATGGGTGTGGGACAGCACTGAAGGCCTGTCCTAAGACGGGGGTGTTACCGGGAATTTCCTGCTGATCTGGAGGAGCCTCGAGGACCTCCAGATGATCTGGTTTAGCACCAAGGGCTCCTTGCGCTGAACTGGCCAAGAAGAGTTTTAATAATGAGGTAGAATATAATCGCCCACCAAAAGACAAATAGTTTCCAAGGTCCAATTCGGGGATCACCGTATTGAAGCTGGAGGTTGGGCAGCAATCCTGTTCAGTTGGGACGGGGTCCAGGTAAGAATCAGATAGCTTCAGAGATTCTACTTGTGAGCCCAAATCGTCTACCTGAACGCTGCTGTTTCCTTCAGAGGTAACAGGAAGGTCTGCTTGTTGGGGCAAAGGGGCACACGGAGGGTCCTCCTGGGCAAACATCCCAGGGGAATCACTGCTGTCGTCCAATGTCTCTTTAGAGAACAGTCCTTCACCATCGTGTGTCCCTTCCAGCGCCCCAGAAAGGATCTCTGCCACAGGGCCACCGTGAGTGAGGGAATCTATTTTAGAATCCTCAACCCTTTGGCACCATGACTGGGCTGCCCCTTGGCGCTCCTCTTGAACTGAAGATGATGCATCTTGTACGTCAATCAGATTCTCTAGATCAGGAGGGATGGGGAGGTCTTGTGTTGGTACAGAATCATTCTCGGAGGCCTTTCCCTTCCGATCACACTCACGTGGCTTTTCTAAATTCTTAGGAGGCGAGACTTTCTTGGGTTTGGCTATGACCACCGGGGGCTGGGAGAGCCGCCTGCTGAGGGAGGTTCTCCGGAGGGTCATGGTAAACCCATTGCACGTTAGGGACTCCGGGTTCCGGAACAGGGCCTCGGCCCTCTCCAGATTCAGCCGTGCTGCGCCAGCTCTGGTCAGGAGGCTCCTGGCGGGCATGGGTGGTGGTGGTTTGGGTTCCTCTTTTTTCTTAACATCTCGCGCCTGGATGAATTTCTTTAGTTTCCGAGGGCTCATGGTCTTGCCTGGCGTTACATTTTTGTTGATGGGCTTGAAGGTCTTCTTCAGCTGACTGTTTTTCTTTTTGCTTAGATCGTCCCTCCTGACAAATCGGGAAGGCTTTGCGTGGCGGGATCGAGACATGGTGACGGAGTAAGAGGAGAAAAGGAAAGGGCACGGGGAACAGAGTCATTGGTCCTTCGGCAGGTCTCACTTTTGAGAAGAATCTGGCTGCACCATGGTTGGGCTTAGTGGCACAAAGTGTGGTCTGAAACAAAACAAAAATTGGAAGTTAGTCTTTTTGCAATGCATTCTCCCATTTGAAACACATTTACTACCAATTGTTAATTAAAATTAGGAAATTGGGATTTTTACTCAAAAGATATAGTAAACAGAAAAACCACTAACATATTCGTTAAATTCTAGATTCACAATAAAGCTACTTTATTTACTGTGACAACTGGTTAAGTTGATGGATTTCTTTGAATAAAGTGAGCATGGTGGTTTTTCTTTAGATCAGAAACCACACTATTGTTGTTACATGGAGTTTAAAGCTCAAATCTCAATCTTCATGAATTTGGATACAGTACTTTTAAAAAAGTATTTCTTGCCCTAACTGGTTTGGCTCAGTGGATAGTGTCAGCCTGTGGACTGAAGGTTCACGAGTTCAAGTTCAGTCAAGGTCATGTACCTCGGATGCAGGCTCAACCCCGGCTCTGATGGGGGTGCGTGTGGCAGGCAACCAATCAATGTGTCTCTCTCACATTGAAGTTTCTCTCTCTCTCTCTCTCCACTCTCTATTAAATAAATAAATAAATAAATAAATAAATAAAGATCAATGGGAAAATATCCTCAGGTGAGGATTAACAACGACAAAAATATTTTTTAATCTCTTTCCTCACCTCTCACCACACAAGGCCGAGGATATCATTGGTTTGATAGCAAAGCTGGTCTAAAGCCAGAGGAAGAGGCTTATATAATCCAAGAAACTCTACTTCTTGGAGATACAATGATATTAATACCACATTTCAACTGCACACAAAAATAATATAAAATCTTAGAGTTAGTGTTAACAGATTAGGTTAAAATAAGACTCATTAGTCCAAGTAACTGCTGAGAACCTACGATGTACAAGGAAGGCTCTGTGGTGGGCGTTGCCCACGCCCAGAAATGGTAAGCCTGACTTAATCCAAAGCCTGCTGGTACTAAGTCCTTCTACCCGGGGTCCCAAGTGCCTCATGATGAATGCCAAGTCAAGGACATTGGAGATAAGGAGAAAATGAAGCCGAAACCGGTTTGGCTCAATGGATAGAGGTCGGCTTGGGGACTGAAGGGTCCCAGGTTCGATTCCGGTCAAGGGCATGTGCCTTGGTTGCGGGCATGTCCCCGGTGAGAGGTGTGCAAGGGGCAGCTGATCAATGACTTTCTCTCGTCGATGTTTCTAACTCTCTCTCTCCCTTCCTCTTTGTACAAAATCAATAAAATATACATATATTTTTTCAAAATGTCCTTTCTAAGAAATATAGTCAAAGTCCTTTGGTGAAAGTGTCTAAGATAGGCTCATTTTATTAAAAATGTTATTACTTGTTTTTGTTTAATGCTATTATTTGACAGCCCTCTATCAATCTCAAATGTTGCTTTTGTTTTTGTCGTACTGACCGAATCCAGGTAATCCTGGGATGCACTGGTTGGTTTAGTGCCTAAAGCCTTTGTCACAAAAGCCTTCGGTTTGAACCTGTGATCAGCAGCTATGTTTTTCAGCAAACCTCTTAACTGAGTCAAGGTTTCTGCACCTGAAATGCAGTTGTTTTGAGGTATCAATGGGCTCCTACCGGGAAAGCCTAGTGACGCTAGTTTCCTTCTGTGATATCTGAGATTGAAGAGGGAGGCAGGGGAAGAGGTTGAAGGCAGGAGGGCAGCGGGGGAAGGTAGGGCCTTTGGAAAGCTGCACTCCTGGCTTCAGTTCCCAGCTCAGAAACATTCCTGGCCATGTGCTTCTCACAAATTCCTTGGTCCCTCTACAGCCTCAGTTTCCTTATGGGTAATCAGATGCGAAGCACAATAGTACCAGCCTCACTGGTAATTATGAGAATATAAGATGTTTTGTTTAAAGGCTTAGCACAGGACTGCTAAATAATAGGTGTTTAATGCATGGGAGATTAAAAAAAGTGTTCATAACTCCAAAATACAAACACAAAAAAGAAAAAATAGGCTCAAAGGTAGTTATTATTATAGAACCAGTTTGACCCAGTCTGACATACCCTGCAAAGCAAAATCTAGTTCTTTTGTTTCCCACCTAATATACTGTATATTATAACTGTCCAATCACAGAGCACAACAGAGACAAAGCATTTTGCCTGATAAAAGACTTTTTAAATAGACAGTAATGATAACATTAACCACAAGAGCCGAAACTGGTTTGGCTCAGTGGAAAGAGCGTCAGCCTGCGGACTGAAAGGTCCCAGGTTCGATTCCGGTCAAGGGCATGTACATTGGTTGTGGGCATATCCGCGAAAAGGGTTGTGCAAGAAGCAGCTGGTCGATGTTTCTCTCTCATTGACGTTTCTAGCTCTCTAGCTCTCTCCCTTTCTCTCTGTAAAAAAATCAATAAAATATATTTTAAAAAATTTAAAAAAACAAACATTAACCACAAGAAAAATAACATTTTGATAAATCTGTGCCAAATACAAACACCAGGCCAGAGAATGCTTCATTTGAGTTCTTGGCATCTAAGCTCACTTTTTAGCCTTTTTCTTTAAAAAAAAAATAAATAAATAAAATATTTTTTTGCCCTGGCCAGTTTAGCTCAGTGGATAGAGCATTGGCCTGAGCACTAAAGGGTCCAGGGTTTGATTCCAATCAAGGGCGCATGCCTGGGTTGCAGGCTTGATCCCCAGAAAGGGCCATGCAGGAGGCAGCTGATGGATGATTTTCTCTCTCACTTCCTCTGTAAAATCAATAAAAATATTAAAAAATAATATTTTTTTTCCTGCAATAATTCTTTGGCTATGAAAAACTATCAGATATTTTCTCCAAATGTTTTTGGAAAAATGTGTGGATGGTCTTTCTTGCACCAACAGCTTTAGAAAACAAAAACCATTCCACTTGCAATCTCCAAAAAGTCAGCAATCTTTTGTTTTGTTTTTTCAGATAATGAAAAGCAGTCCATTCCTTTCTCTAGAAATTCAACAATATCAATATTAGCTTTCTTTATCTCTTCTATCAAGAACATATTGTTAAAAATGTGTTAGGAACACATAATCCAGGCATTGTAATCATCCATGAAAATTAAAATTCATACTCAAGGCAAGTAATCTGGATATGCCAGAGGGTGGCGTAGGATCTGCTTTTAAGAGTAGTTTATAAATCAATCTGTCTCTTACATTCTCTTTTATTTTTTATTTGAAGTGCTTTAGAAATTCAGGCTTGTAATTAAGATAATGTTTACCATTCAAACCTTATCTCCAGAAAAAGAGCCAGACCAGGAAATGGGAAAGGTATAAGCAAATGGATTGGGGAAGATGTGGCCTCTTTAAATGATAACAACCTTTTTATGAGATGATGCAAGAGGCCACAGAGCCCTGAAAAGTCCAGCTGCAGGGGAGGAAGCACTGAGTACCACCCAGCCAAAAAGACCATCACACACCAAATAAGATTCTAATTTTATCACCCTTGGCTCCACTAATGAAACATAACCTTCTCTAGTAATGAGCCAAGTTATTCCCAGAGCTGAACTCTAGAAGAGGAAGCAAGCTTTTGGGTTTTGTTGTTGTTGTTGTTGTTTGTTTTTTCAAAAATTTGTGAGGGGAAAAATGTAGTTCATTCATAAAATAGGTCCATATTTAAATATGGAAGTATCCCTACATATCTCCTTAAATGTATTTTCCTTAATAATTTGTAAACATTATCAATTGCTCCATTTTTTTTCTCTTTTTTTGGGGGGGAGGGTGCTTTTATTCATTGTAGAGTATTTAAATCACAAAAAATACATTTATAATTGAATACTAATTCCATTTTTCATTTCTAATGAGAACTGACATTTCAATTATTTCTCAAAGTCAGTTTTAGTCTATCCTAGGAGCTATGCAAGAGTCTGAGTGCTACAGGATAATATGAGGGAAGCAGAAAATAACAGAATGGTGTCGCTGTTATTGAATATAGATAGCAGGCCCATGAGGGGAAACCATATGCAATTGACTCTATCCTGAGTTCTTATTTTTCTGGAAGAGAAAACAAAATGAAACAACACACACACACACACACACACACACACAAAATTATAGGATTACTTATTTGACCCATCTCTTCACTAGAGGGCAGCAAGACACCTAACCCACATTAAAACTTTCCTAAAATATCATTGTGAAATAGGAGACTGGAATGTATGAGATCCAAACATTATAGGCCAAGAGATAAGAGGCCAGCTCATACCTTAAAACATGAAGCAACACCATGCTAGCATAGAGAAAGTAAGGTTAAGGACAGACTGGAGAAGTGGCAAGAACAGGCCCCAGGGTGAATACGACAAACTGGCAGTGTAAAGATCTGTTCATTATTCAAATTTTATAATTTTTTTTTTTTTAATATGCTTTATTTATCTTCCCCTCTTCCCCTCCAGGGAGAGGGATAGAGAGAAACATGGAGAGAAATATCTACAGATTGCCTCTCGCACGCCCCCTACTGGGGATGGGGTCGGAAATCCAGGCGCATGCCCTGACCGGGAACCAAACCGGTGACCTCTAGCAGTCACATTATCTAAACTTACCTAACCAAATTGATCAACAGCATCTGATTTTTGCCTCAGTGTCATTTGAGCTTACTGCGTAGTCACAGTCTTACACTTCACGGAGCCTTTTTTATATTTACAATTATTGGACTAATCACCTTGCCTAGAAAATGAAAGTCTGACTTCCTAAACTGAATCAGTTGTCTGTGAAGGACACTATGACAGCACCAGGTCAGAAAGTCCTCTCTCACCTAGATTCCTCCCTCATTCGGATCTCCCAAATCCCCCCCCCCCCCCCCCCGCAGGAAGTGGCTGAACTGATGGTAATCACCCAGCCCGCAGGTCAATTTAAAATCATATTGCACTCCTTCTCACTAGCAGCAGAGGCCGGAGGAGTGGCGCGTATTTGCATATACATAGCAAGTTGCAAAAGTGATGCTGATTTCACAATCACTCTCTATTCAGAAAGGCTACTACTGCATTTGACTAAAAAAGGCTTTGAAAACATTTCTTTTTAAAAGGCACCACCTAGCTTAGC